ATCCGATTAGTCGACTAATCGAATAAATAATTGGTGATTAATCGATTATTAAAATAATCGTTTGTGGCAGCCCTACTCCAGGCATTATCATATTCTATTTCTTTCAACTTTTGTGTTATCAGTGGGGTCACCACAGCTAGCCATCCTCCTCCACCTTCATTCCCAACATGCCTCAGTCCTGGACTGGGATGTATTCTGGCTGAGGGGTCGAACAGCACCCACCTCTGAGGTGTGTCACAGAGCAACAGAGCCAGGCTGGCCCACATGAGGAAAATAAGATAAAATAAAATAAAATAAAATAAAATAAAATAAAATAAAATAAATAAAATAAGGCGCAGCAGCTTAATAATGTGATGAACTCATGAGTGTCCAATCACCCGCAGGATTAAACAAACCGATTTATTACAGAGGGAATATTGATGGACAGATCAGAGGACATTTTCTCACTTTTATTTTCAGATGTTGCTGTTATTTTCCCATCAAGCCCAGCCTTTTAATTTTACAATTACAATACAGTAGATGCAAATGCATACAGATATAATATGGTTGTATTTGGTAAATACCATGACTTACATTTTCCTCGTTCCCCATATCAGGCTTGTGCCACGTCTCAATCTTAATCATGAACTTATCTTTCATATAAGTGTTCTGTAATCATAGGAGAGAACAAGATAGTCAGTCACATTACTGTTGTTTGCTCACATAAAGTGCCTGCATTAACAGTATCTGAGTTAATATGAAATATTTATCTGTGAAGTCAGGCGTGTATAACTTTCAGTAATACTTACAGTGAGGACTGCATCAGTAGAAGTTGACCAAGCGAATATGGAATGGAGGAGTAAGAGAGGAGAAAAAGTTTTTAAAATAATTTAACACAGAGTGTTGCATTTGTGAAATTAACTGAGCAGGTGTCTCTGATCTACAAGAGCAAGAGCTTTTGACTGGAAGGACTATTAATCATTCTTATGTTTTTACTCAAAATCCCATGCTGAAATGTAACTGAGTATATCTCAGCATTTACAAACTCAGCTTTATTTTGATACCAATATTATTTAAGTAAACACTTGGGAGCTTTTATTAGAAGTGTAAGTATTAAAACAGCTGCTGTTGTTCTAGAGATATTGAGGATGGAACATATTTTTACATTGTTTTCCCTCCCATCTGAATATTGTTTCATTAGACAGTATATAACCTATTTAAACCCAAAATGAATCAGGCTAAAAAGTCATGGAAACCATAAATCCCTTGTGGACATTAACTGTGCAAAGATCCATGCTGATAAAATTAACTGAAGCAAAGTTACAGAGGTTTTAGTAAAGAAATAATTTTGAATTTTGTCATTCTGCACAGGACAGACCATGATGGTACTGTTAATAAATGTTAAGAATCTGAAGTTTTTATGTCCAAAAGTTATTATTTGTCTTACCTGCCTGAAAAGACTTGTTATTGAATGTTTGTTCTTTTCAAAAATATCCAAACATTTATTAGTCACCATATATATTATATAAAATAATGAGAAATTATAGTTGAATTCAGCTGGATCATAATCACTCTAAATAAAGTAAAAATAAAAACTTTCAACACACTTTACTACATATTTTGGTATCTGCTTTGACTTGCTTTAAAAACAAATGTCAACAAAAATCTTTCCTTTACAGACTTGTTGCAATGTATTTACAGATTTGCAACAATACCATTTTGTGCAGTTTGTTTCTTTCTGATTCAACTGCTTGTCGTTTGAACTGTGTTTGATAAATGTAAAAATAGTTTCCATGAACTTTTAGCCAAGATACTTAGCTTTCTATTGATACCAAACATGTTCAACTTGTAGATCTTAAGTTAACAGACATTAAAAGAAATAGAAAACAGGAAAGGCTGTTTTGCAGGGGGCTCAAGAGGTCAACAAGGTTCAGTTGTTCACATGTAGCTGGATGCAGCAAGACTCACTTGTTCGACAGTAAGGATATGCATTCCAGGCCTTCTCGTGGACCTCCAGAGAACCCTTTGGAGCAATCATGCGAACAAACTGTGGCACTTTGCTGCAGAAAAATAAACAGATCCTCTGGTTTTGTTTCCTCATGGTTAGAATGGGCCTTTTGGATGCTAAAGCTCTTCTACTGCAATCCTATGCAATTTAACTAAATGGAGAAAAACTGTACAAGTACTAAACTAAATAAACTTCAAAACAGCAAAGGTAGATTAGCTAAATGAGACTGGGTGGGTGAACACCATGAAGGACTTTAAAAGCATATTCAGTCATTTAAAAATTCACAGCCAGCCAGTAGACTGAGGCAAAAAAAAATTTAATAATGTGCATGTTTTCATGTGCCAGTTAAAAATATACTCTCTGACCAAAAATAAAATAAAATAAGTGTTGTACCTTTGAAGGTGATAGACTTTATGAGTATATTGTCCCTTCTCTCCATCCTTTTCATACGGCTCATTCACAAGCACCTCCACTCCCTCTCCTCCTCCCGTCTCGCTCTTACTGGCCTCTGCTACTGCATAAAGCTGCCCCACTTGGTACTGAAAAACAAAAAAAGACAATATGAATATTGTATTTACATGTACATATTCGGCATATGCACTTTACATCCACACCATGTTCAAGACCACCATTCAATAGAATGATTTATACCAATTAGCTTTGTAGAGAGATAACAGAGTGCTGAGTGAATGAGGGCACAGATTGTTGTGTAACGCTTTGAGTATCCTGTTGGATAGAAAGATGCTATATAAGTACAGTTCATTTACCATTACAGTGCATTTTACACAGGATCAAAACACATTTAAAAAAATCTCACATTTCTACTAAATAACTAATGGTTAAACCTACGATTCAAATAAAAACCCAGTGGATTTAGGAATTCTGGGAGCTAAGCATCCACCTTAAGCAGTGCAACCGCTAAAAGACGGGGCGTCACAAAAAATAACCAATCCACAAATTAGTTCCTCTCAACAAGGCTGTGACAAACCCAGCGGTTTAAGCACAAAGTTAGCTTGTAAATGGGATAAAACATGTCTAATTTAACAGATAAAATCGAAGTCTTTTAGAAGTTAAAAAAAGACGAGTGATTCTAAAGCTAAAATTAGCTAGCATCTCAAGTAACCACAAAAAAACTCACAACCAGTTGTGTGTAATACAGTGACATTTGATTATTTTAGGAAGTTACAAAACTAAAACAACCGCTCACAAAACCCCATGGTACCAAAGTGTTAGCAAATCAGACCGAGTACGCATTTGGAAAAAACTAGATACAGCATAGCGGTAACATAATGACCCCCGCACGCACAAATGCACCAGAACTCAGAACTTTTTATTCCTAATAAGTGTCATGCTACTAGGTGCATCCCAAAATTGTAGTGGTTTGGGTGGGGGTTGGACCTGAAGGATAGCCCCTCAGAGCTAAACAACCAAAGAAATCTGAAGCTCCTATGTTTAATAGTTTTTGAGCTATAACCATTTTTGTATGTCCAGATACACCTTTTTCAGATAAATTGGGGGTCTATGGGGTGAGGGGGCACTGATTGGTGGGCCTGATGGACAGAGCTTCATCAGAGCTAAACAACAAAAGAAATCTGAAGCTCCTACTGTATGTTGAACAGTTTGAGTTATAAGCGATTTTGCATGTCCAGACACCCCCACTTTGAAAGGAGCCCCCTCCTCAAATATGGGGTCTATCATAAAGCCGTTGGCTGGCTCAGTGTAGGTCAGACTCTTCTACAGCCCTGCCAAGTATCATGTTGATCGGTGCAGCCGTTTTTGTGGTACGGTTGACCAAAAATCACTGAAAAAAAAGAATAAATAAAGCATACGAAAACAATATGACTCGCTTACGCTTCGCGTGCGGGGGTCATAATTAGGCCTTGAAGCAATTTGCAAAATTTTCTCTAAAGTGGCTCATTGAAACTTCAAATTTGCATTTTTGGTGTCCAATTTTGTTTATTGTACATGATAAACACAGAAACAACATCTCTGGTTAAGAATCACAAACAGTAAAACATTTTAACCCTAAAATGGTAAAAAAAAAAATAAATAAATAAATAAATAATAATAATAAGGTGGCACGGTGGCTCAGTTGGTAGAGCTGATGCCTCTCAGCAAGAAGGTCACCGGTTCAAATCCCGGTCCGGGGATCTTTCTGGGTAGAGTTTGCATGTTCTCTCCGTGCATGCGTGGGTTCTCTCCGGGTACTCCGGCTTCCTCCCACAGACCAAAAACATGACTGTTAGGTTAACTGATAACTCTAAATTGTCCCTATAGGGTGAGTGAGAGAGTGAATAGTTGTCCCTGTGACGGACTTGTGACCTGTCCAGGGTGTACCCAGCTCCTCACGCTGTGACTGCTGGATATGGGCACCAGTGACCCTGAAAGGAAGAAGTGTGTACAGTTAATGGA